AGCAGCGGGTGAGCTGGGCCTGGCCTGGGGAGGGGACTTCTGCCGTGGCCCTGGCCCGTCCCCAGGGTACACTGACCCCTGACCCCTGTCTCTACAGATTTGATGACATTGACCTGCCCTCGGCAGTCAAGTACCTCATGGCCTCAGACCCCAACCTGCAGGTGCTGGGAGCAGCCTACATCCAGCACAAGTGCTACAGCGATGCTGGAGCCAAGAAGCAGGTGACCGACCACCCCTGCTGGCGGACGGGTGGCTCGCTGGTCTATGAATACCCCTGCTGACCACCCTATTGGTCCCTGATTTCCGGCCCCTGACCACCTCTCACTGACGCCCCACGCTGACTGGGCAGACCCCATCTGGCCCAGAGCCTCCCCAGCAGAGAAGGGGGAGGAGCAAGTGATCTGCACACTCACAATACACCTGCACACCTGTGCACACGTCTGAGCACGTCCGCATCCAGCTACACACATAGGCATGCCTCTCCGTACGGCTGTATACGTCGACACACATCTGCACACACGTGTGCACACCCGCGTACGTCTCCGTCATCGGTATACGCCGCCATGTACTCGCACACATCTACACGCACCTGTGCGGTGTGCACATGAGTTCTAACACCACGTGCCCGTGCGTGCAGGCCCGCAGCCTTCAGGCCGTGCCCAGGCTGGTGAAGCTCTTCAACCATGCCAACCAGGAGGTGCAGCGCCACGCCACGGGTGCCATGCGCAACCTCATCTACGACAACGCGGACAACAAGCTGGCCCTGGTGGAGGAGAGTGGCATCTTCGAGCTGCTGCGGACGCTGCGTGAGCAAGATGACGAGCTGCGCAAGAACGTCACAGGTGGCCCTGGCCTCACCCACAGCCCCGCGCCAGCGCCCCTCCTTCCCTCTGCCTTTTTGTCCCTTTCTCTGTTCTCTGTCCCCACCACTGCCCTCCACCCCCACAGCTATTCCGGTGGCACATCTCCGCAGCTAGCCTCCAGAGCCCTTGTCCCCAAGCGTTGTGCTCTCTGCTGTGTCACACCCCCAGGACCTGCAGCTCACACGCAGGCTTTCTAGGGGGGCTCCTGGGGGAGGCTCCAAATGCTACCTGGAGGGGCTGGAGGGACCAGCAGGTCGTCACTGACCGCAGCCGTGGCCCCACCTGCCCCAGGGATCCTATGGAACCTGTCCTCCAGCGACCATCTGAAGGACCGCCTGGCCCGAGACACACTGGAGCAGCTCACGGACCTGGTGCTGAGCCCCCTCTCCGGGGCCGGGGGACCACCCCTCATCCAGCAGAATGCCTCCGAGGCTGAAATCTTCTATAATGCCACAGGGCTCCTCAGGTGCATGGGTAGGGGGCGGTCAGCTGGGGGAGGCCATGGGGAGAGAGCTGAGTGCCTGGAAGGGAGCGGGGGAGGCCCGGAGAAGGGGCCTTTGACCGAAGTCTGAGTGGCAAGGCGGAGCTGGCCCGGGGGTGGGGGCGCTGGCCAGAAGAGGCACAGGTGCTGATGCAGAAGCGGGACAGGAAGCTGGGTGTGGCTGACATGTCAGATGTCATAGGTCCTGGGGGCGCAGGCTCAGGCTTCATTAAATCGGGGACTTCATCTGACATTCATAACCCCCACTCTGGACACTCAGAGGGGTGAATAGGGGATGGGCATGCAGAGAGACCAGGGCCAGCAGGTGCTAAGGGGTGGGGCCCAGCTCAGGGGAAGGAGAGGGCTGGGGCTCAGGGGCTCAGCCCTTGGGTTTGGTTCCCACTGGGGATCTCCGATCCGCCTCCACCCACAGGAACCTCAGCTCAGCTTCCCAGGCCACTCGCCAGAAGATGCGTGAGTGCCACGGGCTGGTGGATGCCCTGGTCACCTACATCAACCATGCCCTGGACGTGGGCAAGTGCGAGGACAAGGTGAGGGGCGGCCATCGCCTTAGGGCCCGGGGGGTTTCCCGTCCACTCTGACCACGGTCTGCCCTCTGCAGAGCGTGGAGAATGCTGTGTGCGTGCTGAGGAACCTGTCCTACCGCCTGTATGATGAGATGCCGCCATCAGCCCTACAGCGGCTCGAGGGCAGGGGCCGCAGGGACATGGCCGGGGCGCCACCCAGCGAGGTGGTGGGCTGCTTCACGCCTCAGAGCCGGCGGCTTCGAGAGGTGGGCACAGACCTGGGCGGCTGGGAGCTGGTGGGCCCCCCGGCCTGAGCCCAGCTGACCCTCCCCACCTCCCACCCAGCTGCCCCTCACGGCCGACACACTCACCTTCGCCGAGGTGTCTAAGGACCCCAAGGGTCTCGAGTGGCTGTGGAGCCCCCAGATCGTAGGACTGTACAACCGGTTGCTGCAGCGCTGTGAGCTCAACCCACACACAACTGAGGCGGCCGCTGGGGCGCTGCAGAACATCACCGCGGGCGACCGCAGGGTGAGGGCCCGTGCCTGGCCTCGCAGAGGGGACACGCGGGTGAACAGAGAGGGCACAGGAGGGCTCTAGGAGTTGATTCTGTTGGGGCGGGATGGCAGGATGAGTGCAAATATGTGGATGAGCCAAAACATCGAGGGGGGGACGGGACGTGCAGCCGGAGGCACACCTGAAGGGCACAGCAGGGAGCATGAGGCCAGCATCCCAAACCAGACAGGCCCCGGAGGCCCCCGCTGGCTTTAAGGAGAGGTTTGAGCTGAAGCGGGGCCAACCCGAGTCACACTTGGTGAGGCTCCCAGCCGGGGTGTGAAGACGAAAGCAGGGAGACCTCTTAGGGGATGGTGCACTGCGCGGGTGAGAGGCAGTGAGGGGCCATTCCTGCCTCAGAATCCCCAAGATTGGCTGGGCAGACAGAGAGAGAGGGGGAGAGAGGGACAGAGAGAAGAACCAACCTAGAGTACAGGCCCTGGGGGCCGGGGTTTCGCCCGCTCTCACCAGCTCCTCTCCCCCCTGCAGTGGGCGGGCGTGCTGAGCCGCCTGGCTCTGGGGCAGGAGCGTATCCTGAACCCGCTGCTGGACCGGGTTCGGACCGCTGACCACCACCAGCTGCGCTCACTGACTGGCCTCATCCGAAACCTGTCTCGGAATGCCAGGAACAAGGATGAGATGTGTGAGTCAGGCCGTCCTGAAGCCTGGGTTCTGCCCTCACCCTGCCTAGCTGGGTTCACACCTGGATCTTCTTTTCTGTTGTCCATTTGGGGGGGCCCATGGCAAGCTAGCCCTGGGTGAACAGACGGGAGGTGGGGGGGGACCGGAAGTGCTAAGGTGGCTGGGAGTGGAGGTGGAGGCTGGCTTCCCGCCCCCCTGACCTCCTGGCCTCCCGGCAGCCACCAAGGTGGTGAGTCACCTGATTGAGAAGCTTCCTGGCAGCGTGGGTGAGAAGTCCCCCCCAGCCGATGTGCTGGTCAACATCATCGCAGTGCTCAACAATCTGGTGGTGGCCAGTCCCATTGCCGCCCGGGACCTGCTCTACTTTGACGGGCTCCGAAAGCTGGTCTTCATCAAGAAGAAGCGGGACAGGTGAGCCCTTCCCCCACGCACCCCTGCCCACCGCCCAGCCTGTGTGTCTGCTGACCCCAGCTCCCCGCCAGTCCCGACAGTGAGAAGTCCTCCCGAGCAGCCTCCAGCCTCTTGGCCAACCTGTGGCAGTACAGCAAGCTTCACCGAGACTTCCGGGCGGTATGTTCTGGGGCAGGCCGGGGTGCAGGACGTCGGGGGGGTGGGGGTGGGGGGGCGGGGAGGGGGTGGACCGAGGAACTCCTGTGAGCAGGAGACTCAGGGAGTGGGAAACATGGGAGAGGAGACCAGAGACCCAGAGAGAGGGGTCCAGGCCCAGACCAGGAAGGGTGGGGCCTGGGGAGAGCAGGGCCCAGAAGGCAGGCACCCTAACTCTGGGCCCCCTCTCCACTGCAGAAGGGCTATCGAAAGGAGGACTTCCTGGGCCCATAGGTGAGGACTTCCTGGAGGAGGAGGATGCAGCGTGGCCCAGCCTCCAAGGGACAGGCTCAGCTCTGCGCTGCTCACTGGCCAGCCCAGCGGAGGCTGATGGCCTGGGGCCTCTCGCTGGAGCCCCATGTGCAACTCTGAAGGGCCTAGGGCACCAGGGAGGGGATGGGGGCTTGCAGGGACATGGCTTCTATAGGGCAGGGGGTAGGGCAGGGCTTGAGGCTGCTCTGGTGTGTGGGGTGGTGACCAGGTCTGGGAATATTCCCAGTGCTGGGAATAAAGGTGGCCGTGAACACAGCCCTGCAACTTTCTTCGGCTGGCCCAACCCGGGGTCCAATGCAGGGACTCAGTAGTGTCCCTGAGCACAACCATGCCTGCCCCTGAGGATACTCACACCCTGAGCACACCCAGAGGCTTCTCCAGGTCAGGAGCCCAGGACGAGGAAGAGAGTATCCCTCAGGGAGAGCTGGTGAGAGTGGAGGGAGCAGGGCAGACAGCAGAGTCAACCTTGCTACCGGCTGAGGTCCAGACACAGTAGAGCTGGGGGCCTTGTGCACAGAGTGACCACTCCTGGGAGAGCCGTGAGCTCTCCTGGCTTCGGTGCTGCCCTGCTGGACTGTCCTCATGTGGCAAACATACCCAACACCTCTCTCTGCCCTGCCTCGCTGGGCCTGGGGTGTCCTGACCAGGGACTCACACTGTCCGACTGAGTCCTGGGATCCCATGTCACCCAACCAGGCCCATTCATATGTTTACAGCAAAAGACTTCTTCCTTAAAGCTCAGAACCTGAAGTGTAAGAGGCCTGCCCCCTCCGCCAGGACCTGGCTGGATCAGGACAGGGCTGGGGACAGTCACGACCCCAAGCAGACAGACCCAAAGAGGCTACTACCAGAGATGTTTCTGAGCTGGCTCAGGATGGAGGATGGTCAGGACGGCAGGAGCAGCCAGATTTGTGACCGAGTGAATGTGGGGATGAGAAAGGGGAGGGGCTGAGGGTCACGGACAAGCCTGAGACAGAACTGAGGGGTGCCCCACCCAGGGGCTGCATACCCCCTTCCTGCCCCAGGAGAGGAGAGGAGAGGCTGAGGCCCAGGCAGGATCTAAAAGGACTTTATTTCCTGGCAGTAGGAGGTACACTGGAGCAACTCCCCTTCCCTCAGGGTCTCAGGGCTGGTAGTCCTGCTAAGAGGAGAGAGACCCCACCCCACCCTGCACCCAGCTGTCCTTGGAGATCTTGCTGTTCTGGCGGGTGGGGGCTACACATCATCCTCGGACACCAGGCAGTAGAAGTCCGTGCGGGCACTGTAGTTGCGGGAGCCGAGGTCGGAGACATCTACCTCGCTGCCCCGGCCCTCTCCAAGCGAGACCCCACTTGCATGCGGTGGAGCTAATGGCTCCCCAAAGACTGGCCCTCGGACACCTGGGAAGAGTGTACCACCAGGCCTAAGGCTGGGCTGCCCACGGCCTGACTTCTGCCAGGACCCATGCATGGGGCTCACTCCTTGCTCACCCTCCTGCATGGTGGCATTTGAGGTCCTGGAGGTTCCCAGGCAGGCCTTGGGCCCAAGTGCCCCCAGGAAAGAGGCAGTGAGGGTGTGCTGGGGGGTCAAGCCCACCTATGGCCTGCAGGGAGGAGTCCCCTCCACCTGGACCCCTTTCTGGGCTCCTTGGCCCTGTGGAACCCCACCTCCAGCCCAGGCCAAGCCTCTCAGGGTCAGGGGTGGGGCCAGCTGAGCATACCCAGGTCCCCCTCGGGGTCGGGGTCCAGCTGCAGGTTCAGGGTCCGACCCTCTGAGACGTGGCCTTGTACAATAAGCATGGGGTCTTTGTCATCCTGCAACCTGGTCTGGGGGTCTCCCTCCATTGCTCTGTACCGCACCTTCCGTGGCAGCGCCAGCTGCAGCTCTTTCCAAAAATCTGAAGAAGGCGCCTGGGGGCCAGGATGGGGCCGTTAGCCTAGTCCCCTTGGCCGCAAAAGAGCACAGCTGGAAGGGTGTGTTCACCTGGCTCCCGGGATCTCAAAGGAAGCCCCTCTTCTGGGCAGCAGGCCACACAGCCCTCACCCACGGGCCCATTCACAAACCCCCATCCCATACAGACGCCCGTGGAAGAACCCCTCTCTGGAGCCCGGTGCCGCCCAGCCCTATTTCAGGGCCCCTCCCCACACCCCTCTGCGCACCACGGAGCCGGGCCTCCAGAGCAGCAGGGTCACCAGGTGGCGGTGCTGGCGCAGCAGGTGGAGCGCGGGGTGCACCGGGTCGCGCCTTTGACCCTCGAAGGTGATGAAGATGGGTCTGCGCGTGAGCTCCAGCAGCCGGCACAGGCCCTCCCTGCGGGGGCGGGACCGTCAGGGGGGACGCGGCTGGGGGCCCACCCAACCCGGCGCCGGACCCACCGGAAGCTGTGGCTGCACCAGGCCCGGCCCAGGAAGGCGTCCGACAGCACCACGATGAGGCGCCGGCAGCGGCTCAGGTTCACCAGCAGGTCCGCGGAGGGCTCTGCGGGAACCGGGCGTCGGCGGGGCCGAGGTGGGGCGGGGCCGAGGAAGGGCGGGGCCTGGATGGGGCGGGGACGGGCCCGGAACGGGGCGGGGCCGTGGGAGGGAGGGGCCCGGTCTCGGGGAGGGGACGGGGGCGGGGCCTGGGCGAGGCCAGGGGAGGGCGGGGCTCGGGCCCAGAACAGGGCGGGACCCGGAGCGAGATGGGGCGGGGGGCATGGGAGGGCGGGGCCCGGTCTCGGGACGGGGGCGGGGCCCTGGGCGGAGCCCGCGGTACCCGCGCGCGGCAGGAGGTCGCGGTCATCCAGGAAGAGCTTGTAGCCCCGACGCCGCTCTAGGTGCGGCTTCAGGATGAAGTTCACGAACTTCCGGTCCTCGGGGCTGTCGCTGTAGGAGACGTAGGCGTCGTAGAGCTTCCCGTCTGCGGATGGCGGCGGGTCAAGCGCTCCGCTTTCTAGGCCCGGGCCCGCAACTCCCCGGCCGCGGCGGCTCACTACCCGCCCCAACGGGGCCTTCTAACCTCTCCCCACGCGCGTGCGGGGACCAGGCCCGCCCGCCACATTTCGACCCCGCAGATCCCGCACACACACACTCGCAACCCCGCCCCCAGGCCGCGCCTAGACCCTCTCCAGCGCTGGCTCTTTCCTGGACTGTGTGCTCACCAGAGCCTTCCGAGGGCGGCCGCCTCCCCACTGCAGACCTCCACCGCCACCCCACTTGCCCAGGCAACCCGCCCACCCAGAGCTGAGCTTGGGGAGGCCCCATAGCTGATTCATCCCCCTCGGCCACCCCGGCCCCACGCACCGTTCATCTCCACCTCCCCGCAGGCGTCTTGGTACCAGCGCAGGACACTGAGGCGACACTTCACGTAGAGCAGGGCCGCCAGGAGCAGAGCCAGCAGCACCAGCAGAGAGGCCAGCACCGCGGCCACGTGGCCCGCTGGGCCTGGGGACAGAGCTACAGCCTGAACCACTGCCACCCCCACCCAGCGTTCTCTGAGCCTCAAGGCTCCCCAGGCTTCCCTTCTACCTTCCACCCTGTGTACCCCACTCACCAGCTCTCCAAAGAGTGAAGGAAGAGGAGCTGACATTCCGGATGGAGCAGGTAAAGGCCCCATAGTCCTCAGCCCGGGTCAGGTTGACCCCCAGAACACTGGACACAAGCACCTCTGATAAGTTGTCCTTGACCCTGGGGAGATCAGGCCCAACTCTCTCATCTGGGGCCTGAGAGCATTAGTGGATGCCCCTAGGCCCCACCTGTCAGACTGAACCACAGAGGCCGCAGATGTGGGCTTCCTGAGTGGTCCTTGCCCCACTAGCTAAGAGAAGTGGCCAGAACCTGGTGGGGGTGTGGATCTGTTTGGGGATAGTCACCCTGATCCTGGGTCTGGATTTTGGGGGGCAATGCCTAATTCAGGCCATAGGATTGTGCTGGCACCCATGGCCCTGGGCTGTCTACAAGGCGCCTGTCCACAGGGGCCACCTGTCCCTGCAGTCACTAAACCCTTAGTCTGTGTCAAGAGTGGCGCTCTGCCCATGTCCGTCCAGGTGGTTATAGACCAGGGTATAGGTGTCCATGGGTATAACCAGGGTAGTCACCTGACCCTGGACACTTCCATCTCTTACCAGGAGTCTTCATGGAGGTCATAGTAGCTCCCATCGCCCAGCGGCAGCCTGTCTTTCAGCCACTGGACTGAGGGTAGGGGACAGTGGGGCCCAGAGACCACCCAGGCTGTGCAGTTCAGAGCCACTACACTGCCCACGGTGGGCCCCAGGGCCTGGTTTCCAGTGGGGGAGAGGAAGTCAGGGGCCCTGTCACAGAGGCCTACAGAGAGAGGACCCAGTCGTTAGCCATGCTTGGGATGCTGGGGTCCCACCAACCACAGATGGTCTATGGGCCAGGAAAAAAACAAGATGGTTAGTGGCATGTGTTGCTTGGTGGCCACACCATGTCCATGCACAAGTCCCACTGGGGACAGGGCTTGGCACTTGGCATGTCTTCCCCCAGTGGCAGCTGGGTCTTGGGTGTTCTGCCTGACCTCGATGTGCGCTGGAAGGCCGTGGCTAGAGTCATAGCTGAGCTGACCCATCCCAGACCAGTGGGGGCCCATCTGGCTGCTCATCCAGCCAGGACATGAGCCCAGCTCCCACATTTTCTGTGTACACCCGTTGCCCACCCCAGGTGAGCAGCCAGGCACCGCAGCCCTCGCCCCGCCACCTCTGCTGGGGAAGCTGCAGCAAGTGTGAACACCAGTGCTGAGCTTACCAGCACCTTCCACCTGGGATGGGAGCATGGGATTCCAGGACCCTCTACTCCTGGTCATGGGCAAGCTTTCCCAGCTCCCTGAGACCTAAATTTTTTGATTTTCAAATCAGGGTGAAGAGTCCTAGTAGGACGTGAGAGGAGACCACCATCATCTTGATTAGGTGGTCTCTCAGCAGCCCACATCTACTCATCCTGCCCCTGGGGGCCCCCCAGCAGCTCCCACTCCCAGTGTCCCTGAGCTTTGTTGACCCCCACAACTGTGGTCTGGAGGCTTTGGGCAGGAGAGGGCTCTGGGCTTGTCCTAATCATGGGGTCAGGACCTTGGGCTATGTGGGAGAGGCAAGCATAAGCCTTTGTACCCCTGGCTGGAGGCCAAGCTGAGAGCCCAGGCAACATCACAGCGTGGAGCCAGCCTCAGGGACAGGAGGTGGGAGTGGGGCCCGTGCTTGTCCCTCTCTGACCCCTCTACCTGCCATGGTCTGGCCGGGGCCTCCTCGAGGCAGGCTGGGCACTGGTGCCAACCCCCGGTTCCACGGGGCTCCTTGGCTGAGCAGACTGGTCCCCCAGGAGGTGGGCAAGACTCACTCTCTGTCTTTGTGGCCGGTCAGTCAGGGCACCAGGACGGGTCAGAGGCTGCTGCCATCCCAAAGGAGAAAGTTAAACAAGAACAGGATGAGTTAACATGTAACTTTGCACAGCTGCCTCATGGGTGCTGGGGACGCCAGCACAGTATCATGTGGCTGGAGTGGGCAGGGCCCAGGCGGCTAGGAGGGGCCCTCGGAGTGAACGTCACCTGTTCCAGGGTCACCATGATGGAGGCAGGGACCATGGATGCACACCCCTGGCACCCCTCATGAGGCTGGGAGGTGGCTGTGTTCCCACTACCCCCTGGGACAGGGGTGCCACATACAAGGAGGGATGCAGGGCAGCCCCGAGCTCACCCAGGCCCTAGGGAGAGGGGGGCATGTGAAACTTGTCCACCACCACACGGTAAGTGTGGGCTGCTGGACTCTGAGCTGCACTCCCCCTGCAGGGTTCTGTTCTGGACATGTCCCGTGTGCCCGTGTGTGTATGGACACGGCAGCACCCAAGGCTGAGCCAGGCCGCAGCCATGGAGGCAGGAGGGGACAAGGGAGGCCTGGCTGGCCTGAGTCTGCTCCAACAGGCCTACTAGGTCCCACCTCCTTCTGGGTCCCACACCTGCATCCCCCCCACCCATTTGTCATTTCCAAAACCAAAGACTCTTGTCCACATTGTCTAGTTCTCCAAGGGAAGCCCCCACCCCACCCGTAGGTGGCTCTTCTTTCCTATGTGGGGGCTGGGACCACTCCCAACCCGGACTGGCAGTGGCCACACAAGTATCCTGACAAAAAAATCTCTACAGTGAGCTGAGCTGAAAGGAGGAGCCAAAACCCCCAGTGTCGGGGCCTTCACTGAGAGCCTCCTTGACGGCCAGGGCCTTGGGTCCACCTCCTCCCTGGCGCCAGGTTCACCCAAGTGGTCCAGCAGGTACTCCACTCCTGCCTCAGGCCATCCTCCCCACCCTGCGGGCCCCTGAGGCTTTACAGGGACGTCTCTCGGCCTCTCCACCATCCCTTCTGCATGGTGATGCCACTGTGGACCTGGCCCGGCCTCAGCACAGCCAGAAGCCCTGGGTTTGGCTGGGACGGGATTTCCTCGGGAATTGGTGGAGCGTCAGGCAGGGAAGGGGTGAGGAGGTTCCTTCCAGAAGCGCTCCTGTGGAGGGCAGTCTTGAAGGTCCTTGAAGAAGGAGAACCAGTCCACTGGGAGGCTATGGAAGACTGGGCAGCTCACATCCCCTACCCCAGTGTGCCTGGAAGGACGTGTTTCCAGCTCGGTGGATCCCAAGGAAACTCTTGCAGTGGCCCTCCCACGTCTTCAAGCTCAGAAGAGCTTTTACCCCTGGGAAGGCAGCCTTGAGCCTTCCTGGAAGTTAAGGCCAAACTACACATCCAGGGACAGGTGCCCTCCCCCTGCACACTGTCCCCTGCATCATCTGTTTTGCACACCCCATGCACACACAGCCCTCTCCCCACGTGCACCTGAACTACTATCTTGGTGTGTGTGCCTCCACGCACACTCCCCACACCTCCAGCACTCTGGCCACACACCCACACACTGCACATCCGTACCTGCAACAGCTCGCACAGGGTGCACTACCACGAGCATCTGCGCAAACCCCACACCACACACACTGTACCTCACACCTACCCTGCTGCCCGTGGCGTACGGACAGCCTCCTGTCACCCCTGCTCTTATGGACACACATACCATGCCCACACATGCTGCAGGCCTCCCCTCAGCCAGGCCTGACTCGGAGAACCAGCCTCAGGTTGGAATGGTGTCCAGGCTCACGCGGAGTGGCAGGGCTGCTACGGGAGTACACGAAGTCACCTGGTTCCGGCTCTTTCCTCCTCGTGGGGAATGTCGGTCATTGAGGTCATTGACGTGTGCTTGGGAGCAAACTCTCTGCTCAGCTGGGCCCCCAACCCAGCCTGCGGCCCACGGCACCAGGACACATCACCAAGCGCAGCGAGGACCTGTCTTTTGTTTGTGTGTGTTTTAATCAGAACTTTCCCTGTAGCTTCCTGGCTTTGCAGTCACATCCTCTCCTAGACCTAAACCCCACCCAGGCAGCCACCCCCATCCCAGGCAGGCGGGCAGTTGGTGGTTCTCGCCCCGCCTGCCCCGCCTGCATTGCTTCTTCCTGTAACTCTGAGTCAAGCGGCTCCTTCCTCTGGGGCCCACCCCAGCCCACCCAGGCATCATACTTCCCGAGGCCAAGCCTGGGGGTGGAGGGGAGCTTGCAGAGGGGCTGGAGCCCAGGGTGATGTGGTGGTGGGGGCTCCTAAGGAGACTCCCAGTCGGGGCCATGTTGCACACACACGAGAGCCAGCTTCCCAGACACTGCCTACGAAGCTACACTAAGGATGGTGGGGGCCTTCAGGTTGCTCCCCCTGGCCCAAGTAAGCAGCCCCAGTGTGTATCTGACCTGTGGCCTGCTGGGGTAAGGAGGGTCCTGTGGAAATTCCTGCCAATAATAGGGCCTTGAGCAGAGTTTTTGGGCCCCCTCCCTATCTGATTCCCCCATGTAGTCCCCAAACAGTGAGCGGTTAAAAGGGGGCTGTGTTATCACATGGACCTTAGTTCCAGGCTGGGATAGGAGGACAGCCCCCCCCCCACCTTTCCAGATAAGGGAGCAAAGAAAAGGCCTCAACAGAGGCTCCTGGGCTCTGAGCCCAGGTGGGGGGCGGCCAGTATCTCCTTTTGTCACCACTGACTCCCCCCGCACCCAGCCCAGACTGACTTGGGACTCAAGGCTCAGCAATAGGTGGCTGGCATCACTACCCAGAGAAATTGGGCAAGGGTCCTCTTCAGGCCTTGTCCCTGTTCTCACCCACCCAGGGTCAGAGGCCCACCAGTGGGCCACCTTCAATATTGGCTTTCCTATGTCCTTAATCTGACCCTGTCCCAGCCCTGCTCTTCAACCTCCCACCCCCCGTGGCCCTGAAGACCCTTGGATGATGGTGCATCTTGGGCTCAGCGTCCCCACAGAACTGTAGGAAGATCTGACTGCACCCTTTCTCCACTGAGCCTCAGCTTCCTGAATGCACATTAGCACTGGTACCAGCCCCTCCTTGAAGGTGCTTCAGTGGGCCCGATGCCCAGGTCACCTCCTACAGTAGTCAGTGACCTGCATAGGAGCACCCAGGTGGGAAGCAAAGAGCCCCAACCATTCTTGCGGCCTCTCAAAGCTCCTGCCAGACTGCCTCTGTGTGCCCCTCTGTGTCACCCTCTCACAGCCATGACAGGACACCCCCCCTTCTGCTGCTAAAGTACACCCTCACCCCCAGGCCCACTCTCCAAGGTGAGTGCAAAGAAGCCCACATGGCCTTAGGCACTGTCCCGAAAGGCCCTTCCGAATCCAAGCCTCCCTCCCTCTCCCCCCACCACCCACCACACTCTGCCCTACACCCGGTGGTTCCTAGAAAGATCCAGCTCCTGAGCTTATGTTCTGGCTTGAGTTCTGACTCCCTCGGCTCAAGCGGCGGGAGGCGATCCCCCCATTCCCCACCCCTCCGCCATCTGGTTTGCTGCTGAGCACCCCATAGTCTCCAGCATCCCCTGCTCATCTGGGACGCGCTGCGCCCCCGACGTGTCTCCTGAAGGAAGAACTGCACGAAAGGCTGTGGCCCCGCAGGCGGGGGGCTCCGTCCTGCTCCCCAGGGGGCCGCAACGCCCGGTTCCCCTCCACTACACACCCCACCTCCGGCGGTCTGCCTTTCCGAGGGGAGGACCAGACTTAGTCCCCCACCCTCCAGGTGCAGTGGGCAGGCTGGTCGGGGGCGGGCGCAGAGGGCGGGGACTCGGGTGTCGTCGAAAAGGGAACGCGCACGGAGGCAGACGCGCTCACAGAGAGCGGATGGCGGGTTGGGGCGCGCACGAGGGGGACGTGGATGACAGGTCGGGGTGCGCAGGGGGGCCGCGCGGGTGACCGGCAGGCCTAGCACAGCAGGTCGGGGACGCAGACGGAGGGCGGGAGCGCGCATGACGGTAGCTCCGCCCGGCGACCAGCGCCGTGCACCGCCCCAGCCAGCTCCTCCGTACACCCCCGGAGCCCGGGGAGGCCTCAGGACTGGGATCCGAGCTCCGGGCAGAATCGAGGGTCTCCGCGCGCCTTGGCGTTCCTCCTCCCTCTCCTGGGCGAAGGTCACGAGGAAGCCACTGCCCGTGTCGGGCGGAGCGGGAAAAGCAGCCTTTGCCGTCCCCCACCCCCCGCCCCGCCGCCAGACCCAAGGGGCAGGGACGCGGACCAACTCAGGCTTCCGGGCGACGGGGGCAGCCGGGCCGACTCCGAGCCACTTCCTGCGGGACCGCACCCGCCGCGGCCCAGAGGCTCTTATGGGCAAGCCCCCCCGGCCCCGGCCCCCAAGCTCCAAGCCTAGTCCCGGCTCCCGGGAGCCAGCGAGCTCCACTCACCCCCGTGGGTCCGAGCCACTCACCTGCTGCCAAGACCTGGGGCTTGCGCGACCACGGGGACGGGACGTCTCACCTGGGCCAGGTGCGCAGCGGCGACGAGCCCGGCGGCGGCGGCAGGTGCAGCCCCGCCCAGCAGCCAGGGCCGGAGGGCGGACCCAAGAGTCCCGCTTCGCGCCCAAGTCTGGCGCTTAAGACTGACCTGCTCTCAGACGCCAGGAAGCCTCGGAGCTGCAACCACCCAGCCTGGGGGCAGAGGGCAAACCGGCCCAACCAGCCCAGAGAGTCTAGGACCTGGGGGACTCCTCAGAGTTTCCACTGTCCCCAGGGGCATCTTTGGCGGTTCTGCCCCTCCTCCCCAGCTCTTCCTCCAGGAAGCCTGCCTTGACTCCTGTCCCTAAACCCCAAGTGCGGGGAGGGTAGGACCTCAATAAAGCCCCCCGCCTCACAAGGAACTCGAGAGGAGGACCAGGAGGCTACCACATTCCAGACCTTTCCCCAGCTGGACTTCCCATCTGAGAACAGACACAATCCACCAGAGGCCCAGAATTGATACAAAAAGGTTTCATTTTATTATAAGTTCTGCAGGCTGAAGGGAGCCAGAGAGGTGGGGTCAGGGCCCCCTGACCAGCCAGGATGGCGGTGGGGCAGGATCTGGGTCCCACAAGTCAGAGGGAGGCTCAGGAAATTAGGCTGGTTTTCCTGTGTCGTGACTGCTGAGAGGCACCCCAACCCCAGTTCTGTGGGTGGCAGAGGTCAGAGTTCAAGTCAGGGCTGTACCAAGTCTGAGCCCTAACAGACAGAACAGGCCTCACAGACCACAGCGTGCTGCTCACAAACACCTCAAACACACACGGGCCCTCCAAGACCCCCATATATACACAGACTTCCCCGCATGCACACCGGCCTCCTGGGACCCCGATATGCCATGAGTAGGGGTGGGGTGAGGTGGTGGGAGTGCTTCTGAGTCTCAGCTCCTGGGCACCAGTGCCTCTTGACCAGCTCTGGGTCTCCTACACCTCTGTGCTCTTGGGGCTGGAGCTGGAGGCAGGAATGGCATTGTTGGGGATCAGGGCCATGGCCCTCCCTCAGGCCTGGGGCCTGGCCCTACCCCAGCCTGGCCTCTGCCTCCCATACCACATCTTCTCCCGGAGTGTCTGGTACTTCTCCTCCAGAACCTTGTTCTCTACCGACTGAGGAATGTCAGGCACGAACCAGGCAGCGATGAGCTTGATGCACAAAGCCACGTGCTGGGGGGCAGGGTACAAGGGCTGGTCGGAGAGGTCAAGACAGACCCAGCAGGGAATTGAGGGGTTGGGGGCCAGGGAGGAGGGCTAGAGAGAGCTGCCCCCGCCTTGGGGCCCCTCCCCCAGTTCTGGCCCACCTCGAAGAGGATCAGGAAGACCAGGCGGATGGCCAGGAGGACCCAGAACTGCTCAGATAAGTTGTAGTCCTGAGCGTTGCGGTAGTCCCGGTACCTGGGGTGGGGAAGTACCTGAGGTCAGGGGTCAGGAGCTCAGAGGATGCTTCATGGGGGGTGGGGGGGGCTCCAAACCTGCACTTAGTCACATTCTCTGAGCCTTCTATCTGGATGGGGTCCTGGAAGTCCTTGGTGTAGAACACAGACAGACTGTGGTTGATGTAGCCTGTGAGGCAGCTGGGGGAAGGAAGAGAAGGCCCCAGGCAGGTGAGGGCTGCAGGGTGTGGCCCCTTCAGGCTCCGGGGTGCTTTCTTGGAGCTAATCCCTGTGTGGTGGGGGCTATAGGGTGGGGCATAGCACAGAAGGCCTCGTTCACTTCTCTGCACAGGAGAGGGGCTGGGGGGGGGTTGCGCCTGAAGAGACTCAGGGTGCCTGCCTTCCCTCCAGGAATTTAGGGGAACCTTCCAGGGGGAGACCCCTGGAAACCCAGTCTGTAAGTACAGTGGTCCTTTGGAGGGCTGGAGGCGCTGGATAAGGAAACCGTTCTGCCCTCTCCTGTGGAGCAGCCCCAAGGGTCTGACTTTGGGAGGGAGTCTTTCCGGTGGGGACTGCTCAGAAAACATCTGGTTCTGGGACCTTAACTCCCCGACTGGGGTCCCAGCATTCCTGTGGTCTGCAGGTTGGCATGGGGCAGGGCCACCCCCACGCCCAGACTCATGACAACCACAGACAGTACTGGCAGCATCAAGCCCTTCCCCTGGGCTCCCCTAGGGCTGAGCTGTGTGGTTGGGCCAGTTTTCCCAGGGGTCTCTGGACAGTCTGGGGGCCCCCCCAATGCCCCCTTACTTACTCAACTGCAGGCTGGGCCCCCTGTCGGCACGGCCCATAGTGGTACTTGTACACCACGCGGGGGATGAACTCAGACGTGAAGGCGATGACCATTCCATTGGCAATGACGGCCAGCACGCCAATGGTCTCCAGCACCTGCAGCCAGGTCCCTGGGCCACAGCAGGGGGGGTGAGGCATCTGGTTCATCAAGCCCTGATCCACTGGCACCGCCCACCCCACCTCCAGCCACCATGCCCAAGGCTGGGAGCTGGGATGGTCATGGGGCATGGTCACCTCTGCCCCGTGCCATTGCTCATGGCAGCCGTCGGCAGCCTTCACTGATGCAGATGTGGACCAGGAGGGGATCAGGTCTCCCCGACCC